TGAGGATCAGAAGATTTAATTTTGTTAAGATTATAATACTACCCAAAGTGATATATAGTTTCAATGTATTCTCTATCAAAATCCCAACTGTGTTTTCTGCAGAAACAGAAAAATTTATCCTAAAATTCATATAGAATTTCAAGGGACCCCAAATAGCAAAAACAATCTTGAAAAAGAACTAAGTTGGAGAATTCATACTTCTCAATTCCAAAATTTACTATAGAGCTTCAGTAATCAAAACGGTGTGATACTGGCATAAGGATAGACATGTAGACCAATGGAATAGAATTGAGAGTCCAGAAATAAACCCTCACATCTATGGTCAATTGATTTTTGACAAGAGTGCCAAGACTGTTCAAAGGGAAAAGGACAGTCTTTTCAATAAATAGTGCTGGCGAAACTGGATAACCACATACAGAAATGAAGTTGGACCCTTAACATATCTAAATTTAAGAGCTAAAACTCTTGAAAATTTTAGAGGAAAATATAGAGCAAATCTTCATGACTTTGATTTGGCAGTGATTTCATAAATATCACTCCAAAAGCACAGGCAACAAAAGAAAAAATAGATAAACTGGACTTCAGTAAAATTAAAAACTTTTGTACATCAAAGAAAACTATCAAGAGAATGAAAAACAACACACAGAATGGGAGAAAATATTTGCAAATCATATATATGATAAGAGTTTAATATTCAGAATATATAAAGAAAACTACAACTCAACAACAAAAAGACCAACAACACTAAGACAAACAATTTAAAAATGAGCAAAGGACTCGAATAGACATTTCTCCAAAGAAAATATTCAAATGGCAAATAAACACATGAAAAGATGCTCAACATCATTAGTCACTAAGGAAATGCAAACAAAACCCCAATCACATCTAATAGGATGGCTATTATCCAACAAAAAAATAAGAAAATAATAAATGTTGAAGAGGATGTAGAGACATTGGAACTCTCATATATAGTTGGTGGGAATGTAGAATTGTGCAGCCATTGCAGAAACAGTTTGGTAGTTCCTTAAAAAGTTAAACTTGGAATTACCATATGACCTAGCAATTCCGCTCCCAGATATATACCCAAAAGGATTGAAAACAGGAACTCAAACAGATAGTTGAACACTAATGTTCATAGCAGCATTACTCACAATAGCCAAAAGGTAGAACAACTTAAGTGTCTATCAACAGATGGATGGATAAACAAAATGTGGTATATACATACAATGGAGTAGCATTCAGCTATAGAAAGAAATGGAGCTCTGACACAGGCTACAACATGGATAAACCTTGAAAACATTGTGAAATAAGCCAGATACAAAGGACAAATATTTTATGATCCCACTTATATGAAATAACTGGAATAGGCTAATTCAAAGAGACCTAAAGTAGGATAGCGATAACCACGGGCTGGGTGATGGGGAGTTATTATTTAATGAGTATGAAGTTTGTGTTTGGGATGATGAAAATATTTTGGAAATAGATAGTGGTAATCATTGCACAACATTGTGAATATAATAAATGCCATTGAATTGTACACTTAAAATGGTTCAAAAGGCAAGTTTTATGTTATGTATATTTCACCACAATAAAAAATGCAAAAAAGATATTCCATTCCTTTCTCCTGCTTTTGTGTTATTACTGTAAACTTTTAAAATTCTATACATTTTATAAACACTTAATACATTGCTATTATTTTTGCTCTCAACAGTAAATTGTCTTTTAAAGAAATAAAAAGGGAAAAATCTTTTATATTTATCCACACATTTATAAAGTCTGAGACTCATCATTTCTTTATGTAGGTCCAGATTTCCCTCTGATATCGTTCTTCTGCATCTTAAGTAACTTCCTTTAGCATTTCTTGCAATGCTGGTCTGCTGCTGGTGAATTCTCCCCAGATTTGTTTGTCTGATAATGTCATTATTTCACCTTTATTTTTTAGGGATATTTTCATTACATATTTTTTCTTTCATCATTTAGAAATTATCTGGCTTGCATAATTTCTGAAGAGAAGTCAGAAGTCATTCTTCATTTCCTCTGGATTATAATGTGTCTTTTTTTCTCCAGCTGCTTTTAAGATTTTCTCATTACAACTTGTTTTCAGCAATCCTTTGTATTTATTTTACTTGGGATTCATTGAGCTTCTTCGATTTGTGGGTTCATAGGTTTGTTCATTTTTCTCTATTGGGGGGAAATTTGGCCTTTATTTACTCATTTTTTTTTTTGTCTCTCCTCCTGCTTGGACTTTAATTACATTCATGTTAGGCCACTTAACCTTGTCATACAAGTCAAAGTCTCTGTCAATTTTTTTCCCCAATCTTTTTCTTCTATGTTTAGTCTACATAGTTTCTATAGCTATGGCTTCAACTTTCCTGGTCTTCTTTTGCATTTCCTAAAGTTCTGTTATCTCATCCAGTGAATTTTTCATTTCAGATATTGTATTCTTCAGCTCTAGAATGTCCCTTCAGTCCTTTTGCATATCTTTAATTTCACTCCTCATCGTGTTCATGTTTTTTTTCAAACCTTTGAATATATTTACAATAGCTTTTAGAGTTCTTATCTGATAATTCCATCATCTCTATAATTTTAAGACTGTCTTTATTGGCTGATTTTTATTATGGCTATGGATCACATTTCCTGCTTCTTCACAAATCTAGCAATTTTTTTTTCATTGAATACTGGATATTGTGATGTTTCATGTTGATTGTTTGGATTTTATCTTCTTTCAAAGAGTATTGTGGGCTATTGGCAGACAGTTAAAATACTTAGAGATGAGCTTGGTCCTTTCAAGGCTTGGTTTTTAGGCTTTGTTATGTAGGTGTAGAATAGCCTTAATCTACGGCTAGTTTAGCCCTACTTCTCAGGCATGGTCTTTCCAGAGTCTCTGCTGAATGCCTCAGGTGGTTGAAAGGGTCTATATTTTAATGTCTCCTAGCATTGTATGAGCTCTATAAATTGTGTAGCTTATAGCTCCTTGGTAGTTATGTTTTCCCCAGCAATTGTTAGAGTTGTTATTAGCCCTGCCTTGTATAGTCTCATTCTTCGCATGCTCACCTTAGTATTCAGGCACAGATTAAAGGAGAATTCATGTAAACTCCTCCAGTTTTTTCTCTATGTGGGTCCCTTTTTCACTGTTACTCTACCCCATAAACTCCAGCCCCCTCAGCCTCCCAGAACTCTTATCTGTGTCTCCTCACTTAGCGAGACCTACATGTTCTGCGTGGGGTGCCCTTCCCTACGCTGTAGTCCAGAAAGTGCCTTGGCAGAAAGCTTGGGTAATCATAGGACTTACATCTTTTGCATCTCTTCTCTTAGATCTCAGTCCTGTGCTCTCTGTTGTCTAATGTTTGAAAACAGTTGCTTCATAAATTTTGTTCAGTTTTCTAGTTGTTTAGTGGGGGGGCAAGATGGGTGCCAGTTATTCCAACATGGCTGGAAGCAGAACTGTAATCTGTTTTTCAGTCTCATGGAACAATGGGAGTTTATGGCTGTTTCCCACTCAAAGCAGGGATGAGTGAATGAATGAATGAGTGAAATTGCCAGTGGTGGAATCAGATCGCCTATAGCTTGGAGAAACTTTAACTTCTCACTTTAATAAGCATACTTTGTCATGTTGCCAATTTAATTTAAGGTCAATTCTTCCTTCCAGGCCATGCATATTCTAGAAATTACCCCTTGACAATGGGCCTTTAATTGATCATTAACACTAATGGAGTGCTACCTCTAGTGATAGCTGTCTTTTGTGATTCCCTTCCACATAAACACAGAAACACTAAGTGTTTTCCCAAAGTGCCTTATCTCACTGACGTGCAGATCACAAGCTCCGGTTTGCTCGGGTGATGTTGGAATTAAGTCACCCAACCGTCTTTTCAAGGTCAGGTATACTAATTTTTGTTTATGATTTCTTAAAGAAAAGAAAGAAAGTCTTTCTTTATAAAAGTGTAAGAGTCTGCTTTTGAGATTATGGCCAATTTTCTCACTCAGTTTGTGTTGTGTGTTTGGATTTTGTTAACCATAGGGACATGATTAATAGTCTGAGTGGGTCTTACATATTTTCATGTATACTTTCTAATAGATGACCTATGCTTCGAGGCTTATGACATACCGCATATTCTATCTGAGTGAAAAATTAACAATTAGGATAAATGTGAAGCTGAAACTCTTTCTTAGGTATGAAAACCTATGATTTGAATTGGCTTGTGTTGTACCTGGTGAGAGCACTACAGGAGATGTTAAGCAATTTAAAGCAAATAGGTATGCAAAGGAGACGTTATTTTTGCTAGTGAATGTTTATTCAAGTGTCCACAGCACTCCTAGTTGTTGAAGATACAATGTAAGCAAAGCTGTTTCTTTTAAAACTGGGGTGGATTTAGTTAGCAGAGAAGATGCCAGGATGTAGAGTAACGTGTTATGCTTTTCACACAATGAAAACACAGCAATCTATGTGTAGGTCAGAAATGCCATGTAAGCCAGGGGACTTTACTGAGGACAAAGAATCATGAGGGGAGGAGACAGGAAGAGAATGAATACAATTTGTATGCATTTAAGATTAGAAGATTGATTCCCTGGAGATATTAGCACTTCCATGCTCATTGCTGCACTCTTCATAATAGCCATGATATGGAAACAACCTACATGTTCTTCAACAGATGAATAATGGACAAAGAAAATGTGGCATATACATATAATGGAATATCATTCCGTCTCAGAAATGAAAGAAATTCTGCAATATGCGACAGCATGGATGAAACTTGAGGACATTATGCTAAGTGAAAGAAGCCAGACACAGAAAGACAAATACTGCATGATTCCACTGATATGAGGTATCTAAAGTAGTCAGATTCATAGAATCAGAGAGTGGAATTGTGGTTGCCAGGGGCTGGAGGAGGGGAACTAATCAATGGGCAAAAAGTTCCAGAGATCTGCTGTGCCACATTGTACCTATAGTCAACAATACTGTATTGTATGTACACTTAAAAATTTGTCAAGAGGGTAGATCTCATGTTGTGTTTTTAATACAATAAAAAAAATTAGAGGATTCCTAATTGTTTTCATGGTATAAAGATCTTAAAGGAATGTTAAAAAGATTTCAAGGTAAAAAAAAAAAAATTGAAGTCCAGTCCTTTAATGACTTTTAGGTTTTCAGCACATGCCTAGTTCTTGGACTTTATGAATGGAAAAAAGTGGCATGTATCCACTGGCTTAATCTAAGGTGTCAACAATCCTTCTCTGAAGCTATTGAAATAGGAGGAGTGCCCACAATTACTAAACATCTTCCGGTGATAAAAAAGAAATTGCATAATCTTCTGGCTACATGCATCAGAATGATTCAGCGTTTCACAAAAAATTTACTTCCATTGACTTTGCAGTTAGGTAAATTTTCAGGAATACTTTCTCATACTTAGCTGAGTCAGTTGAAAGGTAACAACTGTTCGCTCCCATAGAAGTCACAGCTTCTGAAAGCTGGTAAGGAATCTGCTTTGACTTTGCCTTCTTTATATCCACTTTTCCCTCTGAGAGCAGGAGGAAAGAGACTGGAGGCATGACTTGCAGCAGAACTGTACCTGCTGGCAGAAAGGTTTTCTAAGCTACGTTAGCAAGGGGGACATGGCTGGTGAGGCAAAGAGCATGCTCCAAACTGCTTGCAATTGAATTGTCTAAGTCACCTGAAAGAATCTGCACCTAGCCTCTTGCTTATCAAGTGTACTCCCTAGGGGAGCTGATTAAGGAAGGAAAGAAATAGGATATAGATCCACACACCGTGAGGTGTGAACATCTGCCTAATAAAGCCTTTGTTGAAGCCATGCCTATTAACCTTTAATTTCCATGTCCCTGCATATAGTAAAAACTTGGCTATGCAGATCCTTCAGAGAATGGGGTGGAGTCTGGAGAGCTATGAATAAACAGTGAAGCTTTTAAACAATTAACTATTCTGGAAGGAAATCATTCTGAAATTTGTTTTTCCTTTATATACAAATGTATAGAATACGATTTTCATGAAGACCTAATCATTGCAAATATCGGTCACAGTGGTCGGCTGTGATGATGCCCTGAGGCCCAGTGAGAGGCTAGGACACATTTTCCCTATGACGTTAAATGGTTCTAGACTCCTGTGCCCTTTTAAGTTTTTTTTCTCTCTCTCATGTCAATTTCTTTGGCTCCTCCCTCACAGATACATTGTTAGTGGTCACAATTTCCTATTATTAAGAAATTTTTTAATGCTTCTCTTAATTCGCTATTTCTCATTGGACATGGGCATAGATGATATATTGCCAAATTTCTTGTGCAGAGACTCTCCTATGAATCAAGTTCACGAGCTTTGCTGCATAGACTTGGGGACATCTATTTTGCCTGCTCAAAGGCATTTTTTACTCACAGATATGTTCCAAATAGCTGAGATTACTTGGGAGCTGAGCTCTTGTTTATTGAGATTTTGTTACTGTTTTATAGTTGTTTACAGAGTGAATAGTTAATTCTCATACTATCAAGCAGAGTAGTGGTTGCTGTGGTGCAAGACCTCAAACGCCCCCTGTCAGGACTAAGCTACTCTTTCCGCCAGCAGCTGACAGTATTGGCTGCTTAAAGCTCACAGCTGAGTTTCCCTCTGGGCGTTGCTCTAGCCAAAGGGAGCTGCTTCGTCCAAGGTTATGCTCCCTCCCCAGGTGCAGCCCACATCCAATGACCAGTTTCTGTGAGTGTACAAAGGCCTAGGCTTCTTGCCTGGACTTGAGACAACTTTGAAAGGCCATCCCAGTCCAGAACATTCTATGGGATTGGCTGAAGCCTTTGTTACAATTGCATCACAGCTCAACTTCTCCTCCTGCCGGATCCTGCTTCCCTCACCCCCTTGCAGGTGTTGCTCCTGAGAGAATTCCCTTCGAACCTCCTCCAGGCACACTCTCTCTTGGAGTCTGTTTCCCAGGGAACCCACCTTCAGTGAGGCAGTAATGAGTTCCTAGACCGACTGCAGCCTGGCTAGTTTTGTCCTTCATGGTTCCATGACGTGCACATTTATGTGTTAGCATAGTACCTCTATCTTGCCCCCGTTCTGCTCCAACTTCTTGATTTCCTTGTTTTCTATAGCATTCCTTCTTTGAGGGCAGATTTTGAAGTTTACTACTTGAGTCATACAAATTAGGCTTCTAAAGATACGTTATAGGATGACATTGACTCAGATATCCATCTTTATTGAAGAGGTTTTACGTTTTGTTTACAGCCTATGAAGTATCAAGGATTTTTTAATTTTATTTCTTCAACATTAGAAACATTCTCTTTGATCCTCCTTTTTGTTTTCAATATTCTTTTAAACCAAAGTTTATGCTCCAAAAGAAAAGAATATTCATAATAATATATTTTTCTACTGTGGCCTTCTTCAAATTCCCTAGCTCTCATTTTTTGCTGCTAAAACTGAGACAAGTATTATATATCTTCATCTACTTTTTTTTATTTAATGTCTCCATCCTACTATTTTGACAGCTTGCTCTGATAATCTCCCTACCCCATTAATTATTTTATTTTATTGAGACATAGTTAACAGTCCTACCCTATTAATTCTACCTGGAAGTTTCTAGTCTTAAAACTATTTATTTATTTATTTTAAAGATTTTATTTTTACTTTTTCTCCCCAAAGCCCCTGGTACATAGTTGTATATTTTTAGTTGCGGGTCCTTCTAGTTGTGGCATGTGGGATGCCGCCTCAGCATGGCCTGACGAGCAGTGCCATGTCCGTGCCCAGGATCTGAACCGGCGAAACCCTGGGCTGCCACAGCAGAGCCCTCAAACTTAACCACTCAGCCACGGGCCGGCTCCGAGTCTTAAACTATTTCAATAGCCTGGTTAACCAAGTTGAATGCAGGGATTAGAACAACCATAGAAAAAATCCCAAGCATGCTAATGTAGCACAAATTTTAATTTAATTAAATCATGTTTAAACAAAAACTGTATCACTAATCAAAACCAGCATACTTTAAACTAATGTTACCTATTTCACAGACTAATCGTAGACTTGGAAGGGACTTTAGAGATCATCCAATTCAAACACCTCGTTCTACAGATGAAGCCCAGAGAAGAAGTGAATTCCCCAGAGTATGGTGACAAAAGCTGACATCTGAAGGTAGGTCTCTTGACTATTGATTCAGAAATCTTGCTACTTTACCACATAACCACTGAATTCCTTTTGCTTTCTCTCCAAATCCCCCCATGAATCCAGAGCATTTTCTTGACTCAATACTTTGGAGACCACAGTTATTTTAACTTCATTGCTCTTTCAACCTCAAGTGGGTTTTTGGCATTCCCACTTCCTAATTAGTTTATGCAATCCATCAGCATAATTTACCCAGCACAAGTTAGCTTGGGTGAGAAAATATTTAGGCACTCTCATCAATATTAATTTTTTTTAAAAGAATAACCTGATAAGACCTTTTCATAAGGTCTGCTTTAACTCAGTGTGCTAAAATAATTATCAGAAAATGTGCACGTTCCTTTTGTAAAGTGCATCACAAAATATGCTTCTTTGTGTGGATTTTAGCCTCCCTTGTGGTAGGACGAAACTCTCATTCTGATCAAAAAGTATGTGCAAATAGGTTCACTTCTATATACTTAGGCTCTGTCTAAAATAAATTGGTTAACTAAATGAGTAACAAATGAACATCCAATTATACAAATATTCATCATGGAAAGTCATCAGGGTGAGCTTTCAACTTGAATAAGAGTCTTAGAATTATTCTAGAAAGATAAGAGTGGTGCCAAGTAGTGGGAGCAGGGACTCTGATTCTATTTCACAAGTATTTTCCTTTCATATCTCTGGTCTTTGTCAATCTCTTTAAAGTTAGCAAAGCAGACAGGCAATCGACAGTTTCTTGCAGTAAATTATTTTGCTTAGAAATCTTGCATAGCAGGTATGGCCTGACTTAGCTGGAAATGATAAACTAGCAATGTTGTTATTCAAGTTAAAAGGACCTGAAGGAGCATAAAGCTACCTGCCACGTTGTCATGGTATCTCCTTAAGAGAGTGATAAAGAACTTCAGTTTGGGGAAGCAGGGGGCTGCAATGTTTCATCTGGCCTTCAGCACGACATGAAGAACTAGAGTTCTCCAAAGCCTTCCATTTGGGTAAGACTACCCAGAAAGGAAACCAAACCCAGTCTTGACGTGACCTATCACTCCATTCTCTAGCAACATCTTCAAAGGTATCACAGATCTACAAAAGTTTCAGTTATAGAAATGTTTCCCAGTTCCCTGGCTTCTTATGAAAGTGTTCTCACGTGCTTGGTGTAGGTGAATGTGGCCTTCCTTCTTATATTTGCCTAAAGTGAATGGACCACACCAGGATGAACCACGTCCCTACCACGGGTTTGGTAGGTGCTGATACCAGTGGCACCGTGGGCATTTGTTTTGTCATCATACTGCCTCTCTGGAGGCAGCCCATCTCATTTAGAAATTCTTGATCCTCCTTCTGTACTAACCCCACCACCACCAACAGCAACAACCTCCTGGCATTCTTTACTGGGGCACTGAGATTCAGGCTGAGACCTGCTTCCTTACAAAGGATTTATTTCCTTCCTATCTGGCATACCCCAGGTAGAAATCACATTTCATAATGTTTTTCTCCTTTTGTTCTCAGATGTTCTAAGTGAGCTGCCTGCAGTGCGTGTCAACATTGGAACACCTGGGGCAGAGCTGGCTCCCAGAACAACAGGGGAGACTTGCCAACAAGCTTGCTTAGGATTTCTTTGCAGTGGAAATTTGGGGACTGGGGCCTGTTTGGAAATACCAGAGATAACTTGAAAAAAAAAAAGTCAATGTTTCCTATTAGAACAAGACAGAAAACCACACAGATCATTTTCAAGAAGCCAAGCTTTTGACTAGATGTGACAGGAAACGGTTTAGAAGAGGTTATAGGTCACTGCCCCCTTTTTGTCGAGTGTACTTTGGCTTTGTTTTCTTGGTCATGATTGGAAAGGGATCTTCCATGAAGATGTTCATTGATAATAACTTGGGGTCCAGGATCAACTCTTGAGGGAAGTGAAAAAGCTACCAAATCTGTGTAGAGTAAGAACTCCTTCCCTCTCTTTATCGTTTCAATCACTAAGTATGTTGATTCATTAAAGTCCAAACTTTTGCTGGCACCATCTTGGCGGCTCATGCCCTGCCTCGGCCTCTCATGGTCACCTCCACAAAAGCTATGTATGAGTCAGCTGAAATGAGAAAGAGTAAAGAGGTGTGTTTCTGGCTCCTCCACTCAAGACTCTGAGCAATGAACAACTGCAAACAAAGTCTTTCAACCCGAAACTCTCAAGGGCAGGGTGTGGGAAGGTGTGCAGCACAGTGCGTGTTCAGCAGGTCGGACATGTGTACTTTCCTTTCATTTAATAATCAGAAAAGAATGAACTCTCCCCACTGAACTGCAATCCAGCTTCTGATGCTCCTTGTGGAAAATGCCACTAAGACAACACCAAGCTTCAAAACCCTTGTGTTTTCTGGCTAAGGATAAAGAGTTCCCTCTTCCCCTACAGTGATTTTTTTTCCCTTAGTAGCTCACGTTCTAGAATGTTTATTAATTAAATTTGCCTTCTCAGGTTGATTTTGTAGAAAAAATTTTTTCACACATTGAAGCCAAGCATCTGCACACACATTGGTTGACAGTCCGTTGACAGCCAAAGACACAGACAGAAAAGCCCTTTGCCTCCATGCTGCGTAGTGCACAGCCCTACCTTTCATGCAATTCTTCCATAACTGGAAGAAGTTATCTGCCGGCTAACAGAGAAGACATCACTCCTCTCATACGTCTGTGGAATGTTGCTAGGTAAGAAATAAGGATTGTTCATCCCAAGCCTGGGGAGTCTAGTCGTCTGCCTCTCATGAAGGACCAGCAAATATTTTTTAGAAACTCTGGATTGTTTTCCTTGATGTGAGGCTAAAAAATCTGGAAAAACATTATGAAATGTGATTTCTGTCTAGTTGGCAGTGAGGGATGGTGTGGTATTAGATTAAAACGCACGCACACAAACACAACTCTGTGGAGACAAGTCGTAACCTCTATCTTGGAACCCCTGGTTAAATCCCAGGAGACAAAGGAAGAGAGGCCGCACAGAGTGGGGTTTCAGCACGTGCACCCGAGGCAGGCTGCCTGGGTTCAGATCCCAGCTCCTTCACTTACCGAGCGTGAGACGTTGGGCAGATTAGCGATCTCTTTGTGCTTCAGTTACTCCATCTGTAAAATGGGGGCAATAGTAATCCCCACCTCATAAGGTTGCTAGGAGGATTAAATTAATCTTTGTAAAGTGCTTAGAAGTGTGCCTGGCACATTGTAAGCTCTGTATAGATGTTTGTTAAAAAATAAACATGTATGTTACAACTGTCTTAGTTTGCTGGGGCTGCTCTAACAATACCACAGACTAGGTGGCTTCAAAACAGAAATGTATCATCTCAGAGTTGTGGAGGCTGCACGTCTGAGATGCACGTGTCCTCAGGATTGGTTCCTTCTGAGCGCCATGAGAGAATGATCTGTTCCAGGCTCTGTCCTTGGCTTACAAATGATCATCTTCTCCCTGTGTTTTCACACCATCTTCTTTCTGTACGTATCTGTGTCCAAATTTCCCCTTCTGATAAGGACGCCAGTAGCATTGGATTAGGGACCACCCTGATGACTTCATTTTAACTTAATCACTTCTGTAAAGATTCTATCATCAAATATAGTCACATTCTAAGGTACTGGGGGGTCAGGACTTCAACATATGAATTTTTAGGGTCACGCAGTTCAGCCCCTAAGAACAATTTTAACATGGCCTCCTCTGTCTCCAGAGGGACTGCATGGAGTTGAAGTAGCCACATGTAACAGCAGCTACCAAACCACACGGAAGGTGGCTCTTTTTGCTGCATGTTTCTGCTTTAAGCCAAATATATTCATTTATGAAACTCTTATTTAAAACTATACTTAAAGCCGGTGCTTCTCCTGGGAGCTTGATGCGTTCAATAAGCCCAGACTATTTCTTCAGAGCAGCACATTTCTTAAGTGTCAAGTTTGGCTTATTTAATTCGTCCAGAGTTCACTTTTTAGTTTATTGAATTCTCCCTAGTTCCAGTGTCCGTTCACTAAAATCTATCAATGTTTATTAGATTTCGATGGTGTTGCTTATAATCCTTCATCTTTCCAGAGTAGGAGTCTTAATCTTTAAGATTGCTTGCATACACTCAACAAGTTTTTTGAATAATTTAACACTTTTGTTTCTAGTTCTTCATGACACGTCTTCATGGGTGAAATGCAAAACACTCTGTACCGTGCCGTACTTGCAAAGGCTTCAGCTTATGTATGACTGACATGTTAGTGTCACCCAGACAAAAAAGATGTAATGTTCCGAATGGGGAAGGAAAACCAGAGAAACATCACAGGATTAAGCAATTTTAGAAGTAGTAAGAAACATAAGATCCAAGTATAAGTTAGGATGAATTGAAAGGAAATTTTAAAAGTCAGTAAACCTGGGACACAGCTGATTAGGTTTTGAGCTTCTTAAGAGCAGTACCATTGTCTTAGACTGCTCTTTTTAAAATCCTCTGTGATAACTAACATAACTCTGGACATCCATTAGTGCTCAATGAATACTGGTGCATTAAAAATATTTGATGTCTCCATCAAAGGCAGTACAAGTTGAAAATATAAATAGACTCACAAAATAAGCTCAGAAGTAGAGGCTTGTCTCTTAAAGTATCGTTTACTCAAAGGGAAAAAAATCCAAAATAGTCTCATATAAGTGAGGAACAATCTACTTGATTTGAGATGATAGTTTAACCTTCCTGATTTAGACATAAGAAGAGAGAACAAGAAACCACAGAGCTTAGAGGGACATTCACCTAGACAAAAGCCCTCATTTCACAGATGTACAAACGGAGGCTCAGAAGTATTAACTTGTCCCAGATCACACAATTAACTGGATACCAAGCCGTTAACCTGATTTCCATGTTCTATGCTTCCTCTCTTTCTCCTGATTTATTTAGTAAATAAATAATTTAAAATATACTTCAGTTTCCTGATGTATACAATGAAGCAAGAGGGAAAAGAACTGCTAGAAGTGGAAAGCATGCACGGTGACTAAGAGGTAGAAGCGCCCCGGTGTTGATCGACGGGTGAGTGGAGAAACCAAATGTGGTCTACACAATACAATGGAATATTATTCAACCTGAAAAAGGCATGAGATCTTTGACACATGCTGTAACATGGACATTATGTTAAATGAAATAAGCCAGTCACAAAACAACAAATACCTTAAAATTCCATTTATATGGGGTTCCTAGAGTAGTCAAATCTGTAGAAACAGAAAGTAGAATGGTGGTTGCCAGGGGCTGAGAAGAATGGGTGCAATTTCGGTTTCGCAAGATGGAAACATTCTGGAGATTGGCTGCACATCAGCGTGAATATACCTAACACTGCTGAACTGTGCACGTGGAAATGGTTAAAAGAGGGTAACTTCCATGTTTTATGGTTTTACCACAATTAAAAGAAACAAACAAATAAAAAGGAGAGACAAACACAAAATGACAAGAGAGAAAAAGACAAAGAAGGCACAGCACCAGAGAAAGAGCAAGAGGAAAGAGCAAACATCAGTATGGTTTTACCAGCCATGGAGATCCCCACCACCCAAACCTCTCCACCCCCCAAATCAAGCCTTCTGTTCTGATTCTTAGTTCCATTCACTGTACTTTTCCATCTGCTTACCAAAATCACTCTGATGTTCATACCGGAAGTCTCTGCTCTGCTGTCAAATTCCTCATCCCAATTTCGAAACACACACACACACACACACACACACACACCATGGTAGGCCAAAATCCTCCTCCAGTTCTGCAGTCCTCTTCTCTCCAGGGTTGACCAAAGCCAGAACCTTTGTCATCTCTTTTACTCTCTAGGTGGCCAAGGGCCAGAACTAAACCAATTTGTGAACATAAAACTTATTTCAGGACCCTCACTCTCCTTCTCCTTGCTTTGGCTGCTCAGCACCCTCATGCAGCTCCCAGGCGGACAAGAGGCATCCATTGTACTTAACCCAGCGATTCCTGCATCAGTGCCCTTGCTTTGCATAACTTTCTCTACTTGGTTCATGCACTATGTCCCTCCTTCTGTCTCTACACCACGCCACACCCCACTCCCCACTAGTGTCATCATCACTCCTACATACTCTTCAAATTTGCTTTCAGGCAGCTATCATGCTAAAAATAAAATCAGACTACAGAATCCATACTGTAGCAGTATGGAAAGATAACAGTTTATTAATATGTGTTAATCTCTTGGGGAATATTTGCTTTGTAGTGGGTTACAATGCACACGGCCATCTGTTTAATGGTGAAATTTTAGCTATCAGACACAGGTCTTTGGGAAGGTGACGTTAGGGTAGCAAGGCCTTTGAGATAGACCCTGAAAGGACAGTGAGCTCTGCCTCTTCTTTCCTGCTTTCCCGCTCCTGAGACAGCTGCCCTTGTCCCTTGATAGTGTCTCCTTAGATGGAAGCACTTGCAATGTTTTGGTGCTTGGCTCTATAGTCAGAGAGTTAAAATGACAAACTTCCTACTTTTGAGTAGTTTATAATCCATATTTACTGACTTGCCTAGATGTTTGTTCAGGTGGTCAATTCTGAAAAATTCTCATTGGGAGACTTCAAAAGAATGGCCAGTTAAAACATAATTCTTAAATTCCTGGTAAATAAAGTTTCAGCCTCTTCCTCACGGAAACTTTCCCAAACCGACTGCTTTTGCATAAGATTCAAATTCTTGTTTGAGTGCTGTCTTTTAAAATTTCCTCTATGTTCTGTTGGAGACGCTAGTGAGTAGCGATATATGGTAAAAAAAAAAATTGCTAGGGAAGGTGGAAGAGAAATGAAGAGTAGAAGTAATACGGAATTATCAGCTCATTATTTTACTGAAGGCCAACTTGGCAGAAGTAATTTTTTTGAACTATGTGTTTCTAGTATGACTGAGCACACGTGGATTGTGGAGGTGAACCCCCGAAAGTAAACTCCTCACTGAAAGCATTTCAACGAACGTCACATATATCCTTCTAAATTACCAAAAGAAGCTCAAGCACTGGCGTTAATTCGTAGTTGGCCTCACGCTTGATGAGGAGCTTCGCTAGTCATCCTGAAGGCAGGAATATGAAGATGTGGGGCTCCCTCTATGCCTTTTTAATGATAGCTCATCTTCTATTCTCCGGTGAGACACCCAAATATCTCAGCGTCAAGTCTTTGTCCTAATGAATGAACTTTCCCTTCTCACTCACCTTGAGTTGTGACAATCAAAGATCAGATAATGTTTACTATTTTTAACTGCACTTGGCTTAGGGGATCCCGCCCTCCATTTTCCTTGTATTGCTCTTTCCCGGAAGTGTCGTGCCAAAATAAAGCAAGAATCGCTTCGATAGCATATTTAAAGCCACCCCATGTTCCTAGCACCAGTATAAAGCTGCAGAAAGCTTAAAATAAGCATTTGTTTTCTAAGGAAGAAGAGTTCAAATAAACCATCTCTCTAACACAGGCTGCAATCAAACATGTAAAAAAAGATGTGTTTGCTAATAAACCACTGAAGCCACACAGCCATGCTAGCTATTAAGGTGCCTGATAGCCAGAATGTCTCCAAAAGGCAAATCCAGTTCTCTAAGAAGAGGAGTTGAGTTAACATTCTGGGTAATCCAATACCGCTTCCAGTAATTCTGCTTTTTTTCTGCTTTCAGCCATTTTATTTTTGTCCTTTGCTTATCATTTGGAATGATGACTCATATTTGCTATTGGGCAGTTTCCTTTGACTACGCAACTTTCATTTTAGACTTAAGGCCCGCTGCACCCTTTCCAATAGTAGAAGATTCTTTTTCTCAGGCACATGTTATGGCAAATCCTAGAGAACATAAACCTAAGTAAGTCTTATTTATAAACAAGTTACCTCCTTTCATCTCCCCAAAAGATTTTTTTTCCCTTTAAATACACTTTAACAAAAAAGAAATACCACAGTCTTCCCAAGGGCTAAAATCTTATTTATCCTGTATTTCAACTATTTTTTTAATCAACTTTTAGTGGACTAAGTAAAGCCTGGCTATTGGGGGCCAGGAAAGAAAATGCGTCTCCTGGGATCCCTCTAAACTTCATTAACTAACACTTTGCTAGGGATGGACCCTAAAGGAATTTAATTAATTTTCTTCTGCCAAAACCAATGTTTTATTCTTCGTCTTTGAAAGGAAGAGTAAAATAGAAATAACAGAGATTTCTATCAAGATTTCTTAAATGTCAAGCATTGGAATGTCTACGTTTGCATTATATTTTACAGTTGTTGTCATCATCACATTGAAAAATACTTATTAAGCCGTTAAGTCTGTTTGGTGCTGTGGTAAGCAGTGTATAAAGAGAACTACATAAAAACAATTCCCATTTCGCTGGGTGGAAAAGGGAAGCTAAGACTGAGGCACAACGTGAAGAATATCAATTTGTTCCAGTGGGTAGGGAATTATAGAGATCAAGAAAAATAGGGGTTTTTCCCTTTTGTTTTCACAGTTCAATTTGTTAAAAAGCAAAATAATCATACAACTATAAAAGAAAACTTATAGATCATCCAGGCCAACCCTTTTATTTTATAGATCAGAATACTGCATAGGAGAGAGGCAAAGCGACTTGCCCAAAGTTACAGAAAATTCAAGACATACTCAGGATTATAACCCAGGTTTCCTAAGTCCAAATTTAGTATTCTTTCCTTTGCATTGTTTTGCCACAATGTTTTTGAAAATGTGTTAATAAGTTGTTTATAGATGCTATCCCAGCAAAGATTCAAAAATTTTAAAGTTAGAAGTTAGAGGATTAGTTTAAGAGGAGAACAAGGCAAAGATCAGAGCAAGACTGGAGCAGGTCTAGGAGAAAGAAAAGTTCGAGAGGCAAGTGAAAATGAGGGAGGAACTGCCAGTCTCTCTCACAAATGAGCGAAAACATGCGAGAACACGGCACCGGTTGACAGGACTCCCGGGCTCTGTCTCATTAGCTCTGGAGCCGTGGATCAGTTACTTAATATCTTCGTTCCTTCATGGCTAAGGCAAAAGAGCTGAACTGAATTCGCTCTGAGGGTTACCTGCCCTCCCATGTTACAATTCTATTATTTGATGGCACCAAAACATAGGTAGTTCTGGAAAGAGAATCCTATACTGTTACGGGAGAATGTGTAAGCTTCCCGCAGGGTCGTGTGTGATAAGGTGGTAGTACTGAGCCAAGAAGAAGGATCTCTTTCGCTAAAGACCTCAGAAACTCAGAAAAGCAGGAATCTCAGTTACATCTTTACCATTTAGGAGGATTTGGTTTTGGTGTTTATTCACTTTTGTGTTAGAACTGTGAGAACCAGATTTTTTATTGTTGGCTCTAGGTTCATATATGTATATAAACATAGATATTAATAATTTTAGGACTTATTGGTAAGGGAAGCATTTCTTTCTTTCTTTCTTTTTTACTTACTTTTTACAAAACAATTTATTTGGTTAAATTCTCTCCCCTCTCCTAAGTTCCAAACGTGGGGGAGTCGGTGAGTTCAGGGGCAGGTTCCTCTGGTGGAGGGGATGCGCCTCACTCTTGAATCTTTCCAGGAGAACGCTGTGTTACAGGGTATCGTTCTTGCACTGTCCTTAATTTTAAAAAAAGACAACTAGGTCACACTTGATTGGCTGCTTTCTGTTATGTTTAAAAATGCAGCTACCAGATTGTCCACTCGAGACCAAGTTGATCACTAAAATCAAATTAACGAATTCCTGATCTCAGTTTGGAAACCCCAGGATACAAATCTTTTTTTCCTTGACATGTTAAACAAAACTCAAACTTATGCATGTGATTATTAAAGCAAAAAGTTGCAGTCATAACTCATTTCAGCAAGCTGGCTTAAGGCATATTGAAACAAAGCCACGCACTTTGCACAGCCCATTTCCTCAGGCCCGAGATAAGAGCAATGAACATCTAGCCACATCATCCCAAATATTTGGACACAACCTGCAAAGTTCCGTGAGCTGTCTGTGTGTTTTGGGTTATGCCATTTATATGTTTTGTCTACACAGCACTGAATATCTAGACATTTGGAAACATCCAGATGATGGACTTAAGAATTTTTGTTTTGATGGGATATTTGGCATTATAACCAAGAAGCATTTCCAATCAATAATGTTGACATCATCAGCCTTTGAAAAGGCATATGCTTCGTTTTATTTGAGATTGACCAGAGAGAGTAAAAAAACTCCAAAACCATAACATTTTAATTCAGTTTTATACATTGACTTCCATTTGCAAGAATTATGGTTTGAAATGCCATAAAATATAGAGCAATCAAAATGCCTCTAAAGTTTTTAGAACCTCCTCACTCATTGTCTGCCTGTCTGTTTTTTTCTTTTTTACATTAAAAATTTGATCTTTGCCTTATTGGAACTATGAAGAAATCTAAATCTGAATAGCCCTTTTTATAATACACAGCATTGTTTGTACTTGCAAAATTGGATTAAGAAATCACTGGTATTCTTACACATATTTTTTGCCAAAGAAAATTCAGCATATTTCTGCTTAGCCTTGAAATTTCCACCAACCAGACTGAGCGATTGTGTACCACCCACACTCTTCTCCTTGGCGTCCCCACTTCCCCAGGGAACTCTCAGCTTGAAACGGATGTAACATGCATGAACTCCTCTCGTGCCTTTTTCTGTTACACCTGTCCTGCACGTGAACTAATTCCCCAGCTGTACCACATTATAAGGTCTAGCACTCTACCACATTTGTAAAAATCAAGTAAAACATCTTTTCTATAGCCCCCCTTTCCATCCTGTTCTGTATCCAAAATTATAGACAACAACCTATTTGATGAGAACACCTTTCTTCGTGCCTCCTTTTCTTATTTTTAGGCATCAGATTCCACTTGGGTCATAATTACTTTCTTGAGCATGAACATATTATAAAGCAAGTAATGAAGATAGTTTCCTTCTTTAGTTCTGCAAATACCTGAATTACTCAAAACTCACTCTTCCTTTTCCTCTCCCTTTCAAAACCAACACATATCACACACATACCCCCACACACTCACAGCTTTAAGAAAATAATATAAGAAACTAAATTTTATCATGAATATAATGAGTAAACCTTTCTAATTGGCAGTTCCCTTTTGCTTTACTTATATCCTAGTACTATCCAAAAAGGAAATACAAAATAAATACTTTGTTAATCATCATAGTAAGCAGAAATTTTGAGTTTTAAAATGTTTTTCTTTATCCAAACAATACATGTATATAAGTCAAATAGAATTCAAAAGCTTATTACAAACAAACAAAACTACAATTCACTTCCCCACACCATACCATCTATGAGTTCTTCTCAGTCACTTCTCAGACTCTTACACTTCTTTCTTCTGCTGTTTCTCTGTTTCTTCTAATATTTTCCTCCTCGTTTCTGAATGATTTGCTTATGCTACTTTCTCTTTGTTAGTCACCTTGAGCATTATCTAACTTGCAATGTGGAAGCTGTGAATTTAGCACTCTGACACCCCTACACACCCCCTTTCATTCCTTCCCTTCACTCCTTTCTCTCATTCTCTCAATATAGTTCTATCACAATTTTTGGACAAATGAACATTCTGTGTTTACATTATTATTACCGTGTAAATATTATTCATGAGTGAGCCAAGTAGTATATTACATTAGATTCCGTTTCTTATACAAGTTTGTTTTTCCCTTAATAATTGCCCTTTTTTTTTTTTTTTTTTTTTTACTGCAACTAATTCTCCCCAACCTCTCCACAGGAACTGTGAAACGCCTTTCAACAGAGTCAGCCATATCAGGTAATCTACTGGTATCATTTTGGGGTTTTGAGGAGACATCTTTCTGGAATCGCTCCATCCTCCCACTCCAGCTAGGGTTAGTTCTTCTTTTCGGCCTCCTGCAAAGTTGCCAGCCTTGCCTTTCCCACTATCCTGAGAGTTGGCCTCCCTTTCTCCAATGTTGGTTCCCTAGTTTCCTGGATTTCTGTCTTCTTTATAATTGGTTTACTCCACCTCTCTGTTAGAATACATCGTCTAGTAGCTTCCTGAGAAAAAGTGAGTGAGAGGCAATTTTTAACAACTTTTTATTTGTAACAGATTATATGAGTGTAATCATATAATTTCCCCAAGATTCTCCTATTCTTAACCTTTTGCCCCTTTACACACACACACACATACACACACATGACTAAAAATATTTTTTTCTGTACCATTAAAACTAATTTCTATACATAATGGCCCTCTATCCTTAAATATTTGAATATCTATTTCATAAGAATAAAGATATTATCTTATATTTATAGATACATTATCAACTTTGATAAATTTAACATTGATACAATACCTTAATCTACTGTCCATATTCCAATGGATCAATTTTGCCCGTTGATCCAAAAATGTTTTTTATATTATTTTTTTCCCTCCAGTACAGGATCCAGTCTAGAATAAGGCATTGCATTTAGTGGTCATGTCTCTTCAGTCTCCTTTAATCTGGAACATTTCCACTGCCTATCTTTGTCTTTTATGATGCTTTTTTTTTTCCCCCAGATAAAGCCCGTCTCCCTTTGATTTCAAATAGAATACTCCTTATTTTGTTTCCTGATGTTTCATCGCAGTTAGATGCAAGTTATACATTCCTGGTCAGAAGACAACATAAGTGATGTTGTGTGCTTTTTAGGGCATCACCTCTGGAGACACGTACTGTCCATCCACCCCTCACTGTGATGTTAATTTAGGTCAACCAGTCAAAGAGTTATTCAATTTTTTCTCCACTGGGTAGTTATTTTTTCCTTTGCAATAAGCAATCTATGGGAAGACACTTTAAGACCATGCTACTATCCTCTTCATCGCTGAAATTTCCCCCTAGATTTTGCATCCATTGATGATTCTTGCCTGAACCAATCTTTACTTTGATGGTTGCAAATGGTGATATAATTCCTGCACTTCCTTTGTATTTACCAGTAAGCACACAGCATTCTACTCAAGAAGGGTAAGAGCCCTCCTCTCTCTTCCCATCTATGCATCCATCCGTTCATCCATTCTTCTGTCTACACACCTACCCTCTATCTGTCTATCATTTATCTATCTATCTTTCTGTCTAATCTATCATCTGTCTATTCTTGGTATGAACCACTCATGGATTTTTCTTTTTATTTTTTCCCAATGGTTTATAGTTCATTATTGTTCCTACTCTCTCTTTCTAGAATTCCTATTTTTCAAACTCTGGCATGATCCTCTAATTTTCTTATCTTTTCTCTCTTGTTTTTCACCTCTTGGTCTTTTAATTCTACTTTGGTCCTAGAATCTCCTAATTCTTATATCGACTGTTTTTAATTTTAGCTATCATGTTTTAAATTTTCAAGAGCTCTTTCTCGTTTCTGATTGTTATTTCAAAGATGCAGTAAATACTCTTTTGTCTCTCAGAATATTATTGAATCTGTTTTCTACTCCCTACATTGTTTCTGTTTCTTTTCTCTGAGTTATTTTCCCCCCCAGATTATTTGTTTTTGTCTTTTTGAATATTTGTGTGCCTTTCATGTTGGAGGTGCTCCTCAAATGTTTAGTGATCTTTGACAGATTATATTTAAGAGTGAAGCATGGGCAGGGTTGATTGACTGTTGGCTTCACTGTGATTTGATTCAGTAGGGCCCATTTGTTTCATTCAGATGCCCCTAGTTGTCAGTGTCTATAGATGTTTTTTTCTCTTGAAGTAGTTTCTCCAGGGGAGAATTATCCAATCTTCTGCCTGGGGGAAATTGGGGGCTGGAGGGTGGGTGGAAGGGCAGGGAGTTGAAGGGCTGGTTGGGGGAAGAGGAAGATATAAGCTTGGATGCCGGAGAGCAAAGGAGGTCCTTTCACACACTGCTCACCTACATCCTCCATCAGGCCTATAGTCCTTGCACCCAGAGCCTCCCTCTCTCTTTTGATTTCTTCAAAGACTAAATCTCCATCCCTGTATAGGGTAAGAGAGGAGTAGTCACTTAGCTGGGAGGAGTAATAGAGTACATATGGGGAACTAAATGTTCTCGATACAGACTTTCAACCAGTCTTCAGTCCTCCCCATCTGAAGGTTCACCTGTTGCCTCCAATTCCTGAAATTTCCAGGATTCTAAAGAATGAATTAACTCTCTTCTCATTGCTTTCTGCCATCTGTAGACTTAGGTTTTAGCTTTCTCCACTCTACTAAGTGAGTGATGACTGGTCCTTCTACTTCCCATTTTTTAGAAATTTGTGAAATCTTCCAGCCATTGTTGTCTCCTCTCCCATTCCCATTGTACTAGTGTGTTTATGCCATTTTAAATTCCTATTCTGTCATTTTGATGATGTTTCAAGGGAGAATAAAGGTAAAGCCATGAATTTAATCCACCTTGTTAACTAGAATGTAAACAAAAATTCAAATTGGAATGAGAAAAGCAAAATCCAAGATTAGAATTAGTATTCTGGCCACCTGTACTTAATCCTTTCCAATTCAAGTGGAAATGGCTCCTGGGTATGAGTTCTGTGCACGTAAGTTTGTTTTGTGATCAAGGGGAAAGACACGATCCTAAAGGATTAGCGTAGGGGGAAATGTGATGTAGCTGCTCAGGAAAGGCTATTAGAAGAAACTATCCACATCAGATTTCTTTACATAATATGCAAAATTGTATCTCATCTGCACTGACCCACATATCTTTTTGCAAGATGGATCTAGAAAAATGGAACGACTTTAAGAAGACCCAGTAATGGAGATCATCATATGGCTATGATACAAATACATGTCACCATTTTAAATGACAATTCAAATACAACATAGGATAAAGGGATGGACATGATAGGAAATTCAATCAGAAAACAGAACTTAATTTTCACTGTTCAACACCTATTATGGTGCCAGTCATCATACTAGGTGCTTATTTCCTAGTTTTCCTTGCTAGGTTATCATTAATATCCTCAGCAGGAGAAAATGTGTTTTGACAGAAATGCAGACAAACCCAAATTACAATGATGAAACAGGGAAACTGTGGGTGACTCCAAACAGTTATAAAACTGGAGAGTGACCATAAAATATAATCCGCTTAGGGTGCAGTTTGACTTATCTCAGAGGGATTTGCCCAATAAAATAGTACTTAGGTATCTAAGGAAACGATACTTTATGGTTCTACAAGTAACTGAAAATTAAGCAATTTTGCTGAATCAATAGTTTATTTATAAATCTTCACTTTTTGTGTGCGTGAAACCACAGCCAGTTTTCAGGTAAAGCTTCTCTTCTCGAGCAGTGACATAGTGTTGGAAAAGAAAGATCCATTGGATGGTCCACTAAATCAAGGAAAAGAAAATCCACATATTGTTCAGGATTTTAAACTTGATGCTCCATTAAAACGTTACTGAGTCTTAGTTCAATTAAGAAGATCGAGGAAGAAAGGAATATTTTTCCTACACAATTCCTTCACAGAATTTGTTGTCGGTGAGGGGTGGAGGGAAGGGGAATTGTGGAACCCTCCACGATATATTGTTGAAGGAAAAAAGGAGGTCCTGATATGGATTGTAATATCCAGTTTGTGTTTGAAATGGGAGCAATCAGAGCTTCACATGAGGAAAATGCAAACTAAAACAGTAACGAGGGGCCATTTTGCGCACATTAGATTGGAAACAATTTTAAACTCTTACAAGACTAGGTGAGGGCAAACAGGTGGGAAAGTTGCTACCGTGTGTGCTTGATACAGTATAAATCCGAAAAATAACTTTGAAGAGCGTTTTGGCAATAGCTAGTAAAGTTGAAAATAGGCATACTCTGTGACTCAGACCTTCAAGGTTTTCGTTTTATGTCAACTCTTGGTTAACTGAATTATACCAGAAAATAGATTTTTCAGAAATGGTTTATCTCCAGAATCCTTGCCTATCTGAGGCTATCTATTATCTGTGTGTATCTGTTGTCTGAATGACACTGGGTATAGAATTTTTCAGTCAAAACTCTAATCACGCAAAACGCTTAGATACTGCTGTGCTGTTCTCAGATAAAAGTTCCTGCAGAGAAGACTCAAGCCAGTCTAACTCCTTTTCACTGTGTAGGGGGTTTGACCTCTTTTCCAGGAGGCCTGGAGGAATTCTTTTTTATCTTCAGCAGCTTCACCAGTATTCTTCTTAGTGTTAATTATTCTCTATTATTTTTCCCCTGAAATCCTCTGATATGCAAATTGAACGAACCATTTCAGAAGCGTTTCTCTCCGTTGCTGACTACATCTTTGACTTGGTGTCCACGTGTTTATTCTGTAACTTTTTGTTTCTAACACATTTCTTTGTTCTGGGACTGTATTGTCTTCTCAGTTTCTTTCCCTAGGCTTTTCATCTCCTTTAGGACTTTATTCTTTTATTTTGGGATTTCATAGTCTCCTTAATTTCCTCAAGAGTGTGAAGAATATAATATCTAAATATTTTTTCTCTTTCCAGGGTAACTTTTCTTCCAGTTGGGATTCTTTACTGCATTTCTTTCCTTTTGGGGGTCTATGGAGGCCAGACTAACAAGTGTTTGCACAGGTCCCATTCAGCTTGTTTTACCTACTCATCTTTGGCACAGCAATCCTATCCTGGCCTCTTTGCCCCAAAATAATGTAGGCAAATTCTCCTTGACTCCAGACCTTGTTTATTTTGGTGAACATTGTTTATCCCCTCAGAACACGAGTTTAAGGGCTCGTGTGAATGCGTTGTGGTTTTCTTCTATCTTTTAGCTGCCTGTGGGAGCAGGAAGGGGCTTGAAAGGGTTGAGACTTGGAGCAGGTGAGGTCATGGAGCTTCATCACCACTCTCTAATGAGCCCTGCATAC